ACTACTACGACTACTACGACTACTACGACTACTACGACTACCACTACCACTACCACTACCACTACAACCACCACTACCACGAGGACCACTACTACTACGTCGTCGTCGACGACGACTACTACTACAACTACCACTGCCACTACCACCACCACCACTACCACGAGGACTACTACGACGACTACGACTACGACTACGACTAAGACTACGACTACTACTACTACCACCACTACTACTACTACTACTGCTACTACTACTACTACTATACTACTACTACTACTACTACGACTACTACTACTACTACTGCTGCTGCTACTGCTACTGCTACTGCTACTGCTACTGCTACTGCTACTACTATACTACTACGACGACGACGACGATGCCGCCGACGCCGCCGACGCCGCCGGCGCCGCCGCCCCCTTTTGTGCTGCTGCCCCTATACTCCTGCTCCTGCTCCTACCACTGCCACTGCGACTGCTTCTGCTTCTGCTTCTGCTGCAGTACTACTACAAAGACTACGGCCGGCACTGCTGCTGCTAATCATATGCTCTCGTGTGCTGAAAGGGAAACACCCTTTCAGTCCTTCACGGTGTCCCTCTTTCCCTCTCTCTCTGCTCAGGGCATGGACCTTGCTGGGAGCTCTCTTGGCCATCCTGCACATCTGTTTGCCATCAAACGCTGCCACACACAGGAAAGATCAAAAGGGATTGCTCAACAGTGGCCTTCCCAACTTTGCGGCCTCAGATCACAACATGCAAACAAATGGCGTGCGGTGGGCCAGTAACGCTGCCAGCAATGTATTTTTTTGTTGACCTCTCATCCTCAGAGCCTGGCATCGCAAGTATCCATGGGCCAGTAGGTCGGAGGCAGTAACCTCAGTTCTCCAGGCATATTTTCTTAGGCTGCAGGCACCTGTCTGACAAAAACAAAAACCGTTTCATTGAAACAATGCTTCAGATGGACTCAAATCTATCCTCTTCAGCAACCGATCAAAGTTGCGCACGGACGCCTATCCTGTTCTGGTCATTCTCTGCCCTCTCTTTCAATACAAGCTAGTCCGGCAACAACTGTTCCAACGAAGTTCAATCAAGAGAAAACGGAATAGAACTGTTCTACATTTTTGTATAAAGCCCCCGGCCCTTGACCCCCAAAATTGGTTCTCCAGAGTTATTTGTCTTGGGAAGGAGTTGTGTCTCAACCTGATCTATTCCTGGCAAAAGTTTTTTGACAGCTACAGCTTGCCCTGCCTCGGGTATTCGCCAGCATCACGCTAAACAAGTTCAAGGGGCACTGCGTTTGGGAAAGGAGGTGAAAGTCACCAGCTCTCCAAAATCAATGCGTGCAATCTGGTCACCTGACACATGACGACATCGAACTTGTGAGTTCATCAAGCATGGTGTTGGTGCAGTTTGACGGTCAAATTCCCGGCAAATTGCATGAATTTCATCTTGCAGAGGTGCCCTGACATATGTCACCTTTGATTGCTCAGATTTTGAGCCTGCCTCATCACAGCTACACTCAGAGCCTTAAGTCCAAGAATAACAGTTCGCCTCTCCCTCGAGGACCAGTGCACAGGCTGAGTGGCACCTGACTACAGCTGAGAAAATGTCATCAAACTCACCTGAAAAGTTCCCAACAACACAGTCCAAAACGAACATTGCAGCCCACCAGACGAACGCAATACGTGCGCAAACTGCCCTTTCACCATAATTAGGTACTGGCTCGCCTTGGCAACACATTGCCATAGCTGCGCTTCTGTCATGAGTCATGGTGATTTTGCTACACCAATCCTTGTTGTCCCAGCTATATATTAATAACGGTGCTTCTGTACTGATCAAGTGCCCTTTCTGCACTGCTGGCTGACAATCCAAATTGTCCATCTTCTTTTGAGTGGAGGGTGCCTGCTGGCCCCTCTTGCGCACACGACCATGAAGGTATTCTGACCACAATGTGCACCACGATGCACAGAAATCACACTTGCTCCCACACAAACAAAGCCGTATAACTTTCCTTCCCCTTCCTAGCACATATCCTAGCGCTGCAGAATAAAGCAAACACATCCGTTTTCCAACAGAATCCCTCTTCAAGCCGTTCCTTGCGTTCACGCACACTGCAGAACACTCTATACAGCCTGCTGCAGTTGAGGTCGCTGTATTGTCGCTTTATTGTGGCTACGTGTGGGGGCGAGACTACTTTGATGTCTCTTTGGTTAGGTAAATCCTGCTGGCCAATCGACTCCTCTTGCAGCTCAGATCGGCAAATCTCCAGATCAATCAGCTCTCTTCCGCCAAGTCCTGCAAGAAGAAACTGCGAAGCACAATTGACACTTGCAAAGGCCATTGGCCTGCAAGACTTCCTTTTGCAGTGGGAGCCCAATCTCCTTGAAAACCCTGCGGCCACTGAAAAGCAACAACGACCAATAGAAAGAAACCAAATATGGAGGCAGACCAATACAAAATTTGCTGGATCTTATGACAATTAGATTCAGTGAACTCACACGCATATATATATATATATATACGAGTAGCTTAAACTTCTTACCAGCATCTCTGGCGACCCGCAATCACTCCAGCGGACCCGTTTTCCATACTCCTTCCACAGCGACATTGCCTCGTCTCTCTCTCTTGAATCTTCAGCCTCTTCAGGGACCAAATGTGGCAGAAAAACATATCTATATACTGAATCTACTGCTTCAGTGAGATGGCCCGGTAGTGACCCGACAATAGCTTAAAAAGTGCCTCACTGAACAATATTGGAAACACGCTCCTATATATGGGGACCCTTATGTACCACAACAACATATCAATCATCTCTTTACAGTCTGTGCAGCTCTGCTCCACCAATTGGCCTTCGTCATTATGCCCAAAAGCTTCATCACCCCAGCTTCCAGCATGGCTTCACGATATGCTTCTGTGAAGGTCATGAGCGCCGCCTGCTGAAAAACCATCCGATTCTCTTTATATAACAGAACCCTTGCAGCATGAAATATGCTCTTCTACATGATGTATGACGGGCCGAACGCTGTGTGGAGACACACCTCCCATTCTCTTTAAAACCCTTCCATGTCGTTTGGCATCTGGTGCTCTATGATCACACATTCAGCTGAGGCTCACATGCTCGTTGTCGCTCTTGGCCCGTCTCGGCCGCAAGCATCTGGACCAGAGCCTGGATGCCACCAGCTGCATAAATGACACTCTGCCGCTGTGCCTCAGAGACAACCAAAAGACAAGAGTACAAATGAAGAGTCAGCAAGGAGAGAAAGAGGCAGAGAGAGACTCAACATTTACAGGATGGAAAGCTATCATGAAGACTCGACCTCTCTATTTCCACATATCGTCCCTTCAAGAGAAGAGAGTTTAGAGGCCTGTGCCTGGGAAACTTCCTGAGGCCTGAGCACTACCGGAAGCCAGGTTGGACAAAACAGTCGCAGCCCACACTCGCTGCTTCGCAAAGCCAGTGCGAAGAAGCTGCAGCAGGGCAGGCGCTGACTCCAACGAAATCATGATGTCTTTGTTTCCCTCGTGGTTGGCGGCCAAATTGCACAGGGTGGAAGCAGCTTCCTCCTTCTCTAAACCATTGCCACTCTTCAAGAGCTCAACAGCTAGTGGAATCACACCCTCGCTAGCAATCAAACTCTTATTTCCTACATTTTTGGAAGCTAAACGGCCCAGGGCAGCAACAACCCATGCACATTCATTTGTACCAGAGCTTCTTCCACAGCCATGCGTCAAGGATTTCAGCACATCTGCTAGCAAATGCACAACGCCGCAGCTCACCATCAACGCTTGGTTGTGAGAGGAGTTAGCTGCCAAACAGCCCAGGGCGAACGCAGCCCTTTCTCTCTCGTCTTTACCACCATGTCGAAGCATTTGCATCAAAGCAATTGTTGTGGCCTCATCAACTTGGTAGTTCTCTTCAGCAGCTCGACTTGCCAGAGAAACTGCGGTAAGGCACGCCATCTCTGCAGACTCCTCCACTCCTCCACGATTGGTCCCACTTGCATGTTGTATCGAAACTTCTTGACAAAAAATCACTAGCACCCACCGTTCCCCATGTGTCACTTCGTGTGATTGATGCCAAATGCAATGATCCAGCATGCACAAATAACCTGCACGTAGCCGATGGAAATGGCTTCGAGAATGCCGATCCCATATTGTCACCCCTCCCCCAGCAAACCCCTGCGGACAATGAAGCTGCAAGATCATGGATGCATGAACCTGGGGTCCGTCAACATGTCTGGTCAAATGGGTCTTGCCATGCTCCACTGAATACCTTGTAACAAAAGTTTGCACCCGATGTAGCGTAGAATGTTTTTTCTCAGGATGGATCGTGTGCCACCACTCGTTCAAATGCACCATTAGCTGTACCAGAAGAGGCTCTATCACACCGTACAATGGCGGGTGCTCAACAGCCCCTGGTGCCATCAAATCCGGCAACTCTGCAGCCAACTCTGCATAACAAGAAATGTCCCAATGGCCTTTTGCATCCAAATAAGAGGTGTGGCAGGGAAGGTAGCACGCCTCAATCTGCGAAGACAATGCAACTAAGTAATTCTGCAGGCCAGTGTCAATGACTTTGAACCCAGAATCCAAATAACGTTGCGATATTTGGCGGCGCTTGCAACAAGTGTTGATGATGAGTTTTCGTCTCCGCGCGTTGTGCGGAGGCAAGGCCATGGGCCAAGGCCATACTGCATAAATGCTGTTTCTGTCCGGTCTGGCAGCCACAACAACACGCAGTAGATTTGGAACTAGGACAAAACATGACAAAACAAGAGAACACTAACAAACGAATTCCGGCCCAGGTCTGCGATGGGCTGTTGGTAGGGCAGTTAAATTTCCAACCTGTGGACAATCCTTCAACCACGATGACGTCCAACGCTTTATTGAACCGGAGAACCAAAAAGAATAAAACGAAAGCTGCAGCACACTCAACACTCAAATTCCATCTCAAAAAAACCATTTGAACACCGTGCGCCACCATCAACGTCAACTCTAGGCCACTCAGAATCAACCAATCACTCCTAAAACCCTGGATGCCCGGTCAGCCAACCAAAGCCAGATGTTCTGATCTGCTACTGCACTTGGCATCACACACACTTATGGATATGCGTACTGACTTGACAGCGGTGCCACACGCCAACCTAAGAAACCCAAATCTTGAAAGACCCAGGAAAACCTAAAGAGCCTGGGGGTCTTCAAAAGGAAGTGTGGCCCAAAGCGCAAGGCGAAACCGATCCGACAGGATGACGACGGTCGCTCACAACTGCTGAGTAAATGACGGAAACTTAAAAGTTGATGCAGGTACGTCGGTGAGCGTCCCCACCGATATCAGTGTTCAATGCAAGCCTCTTCGTTGGGCTGGTACTTGCATGAACAACCAGCCCCCCTGCTGTAAAATCCAAAGCCAAAAATAAAACAAAGCAAAACAATCCGAAAGGTGTGATTCCAAGGGTTACACACACACACCTCTCCAAAGGGAGGCATATTTGCTAAGTTCTCGGTAGGTCTACCTTTTTACATTAAGCTCCGGACGGGTCAAAGCCAGGTGTGCTTCTGAACTAGGCTCCGGACAACTCAAGATGGAGGAGGTGAGATTTCAGTGAGGATGGTTGGTGCGGTTGCCAGCTGCACAGTGAAAGGCCCAGGCACCCCTGCACGCGGTTATCCAGTAGGGTGTAAACCCCGGCGTAGGGAAGGGAAAGGAAAAGTGTGCGGAGGCGCAGGAAGAGGAAGAACAAGAAACGGAAAGAAGTGACCTGAGGCGTAAACTGGAGGAAGGATGGTTGGTGCGGTTGCCAGCTGCACCGTGAAAGGCCCAGGCACCCCCTGCACGCTGTTATCCGGTAGGGTGTAGACCCCGGCGTAAGGAAGGGAAAGGAAAGGTTGTAGGCCTGTTTGTGGCATGGTGTAGGCGGTGAGGCCGGTAGGAGAGAGCTGCATAGCGGCGGGAGGCGCGGGAAGAGGGAGGGGAGAGAGAGAGTGAGAGAGAGAGAGAGAGAGAGCGAGAGTGAGAGTGAGAGAGAGAGAGAGTGAGAGAGGTGCTCCCAGCCACGAGCCCAGCGTCCAAGGACACACCAAACAAGCAAAGGAATGAGACGATGGTGTTCCCAGCTACCACTCAAGCGTCCAAGGACGCACCCGTCAAGAAAAGGAGAGAGAGTGAGAGAGAGAGAGAGGTGCTCCCAGCTACGAAACAAGCGTCCAGGGACACACCAAAGCGGGGAGCGGAGAAGGAGGAATCATCACGCTAAGGTCCCGACAGGTTCCAATGAACCTTAAATTTGCTTTGACCGCTGTGGTCACCTTGTGCCCTGCCGAAATGGCTGGCTGCTTTGACCGCTGCGGTCACGTAAAGGCATGAGCCAACTTGGAATTCCAAAGATGAGACAAAAATCATCGGACGTTCGGCCTAGGCCACCTGCTGTCCGCTCCGGACACTTACATCTCACCGATCCGACAGGATGACGACGGTCGCTCACGACTGCTGAGTAAATGACGGAAACTTAAAAGTTGATGCAGGTACGTCGGTGAGCGTCCCCACCGATATCAGTGTTCAATGCAAGCCTCTTCGTTGGGCTGGTACTTGCATGAACAACCAGCCCCCCTGCTGTAAAATCCACAGCCCAAAAAAAAATTACACCAGCATAGACCCAGATAGCTAGGCAGAACCCCACAACCTGTTGACATGCAACTGGCTGGAACAAGAATGTGCGCAGCCTGCACAGCCACCTTACCCGTCTTAAACGCACGCTCAGCCAGCTCACAGCACCAGCACCCAGGACCCCAACACCAGCACCAGCGCCGACACCCTTTCGAAAGCGCAGCCAGCTCATTCTTATTTGCAGCAAGAGCCCCATCGCCATCCCCATTTGGGGAATAACAACGTATGATCTTTCTCTCTCCATCGCCTTCTCGAAGAGTTGATATAAGTTTATGCGCACAAAAGTATGCGCGCAAACAGCAAAGCCCATAAGTGTCATTGGCCCAAGGCCAAGCAGTATCCAGCGCCACTATTGACTTTGTAGCATGCTTGAAGCAATGATCTGCAGAACGATCAGGCCGTATGATCTTGCGCGTATAAGTTTATGCGCACAAACATATGCGCACAGACGGCAAAGCCCGTAGGCTTCACTCGCCCAAGGCCAAGCAGTATCCAGCACGACTATTGTGTGCGTAGCATGCTGAAACATGCTGAAACAATGGTCGGTTGACAGCCTGACGTTGCGCAAAGAAGATTATACGTAGAAAAGTATGCG